TATCTTTTAAAGATATTATTAAATATGATTTTCAAATTTTTGTTTAGAATTTTTGCATCTGTATTCATGAAAAATACACAATTATCTTCTCTTGTTATGTCTTCATCGAGTTCTGTTAACAGGGTAATAATAGCCTCACTCCTAGAAAAGCTGCATTGAGTTGCTATAATTTTTCCTTAAATATCTGGTAGAATTTACCAGTGAATCAATCTGGGCTTGGAGTATTATCAGTGGAAATGTTTTTAACTACCAATGCAATTTCTTTAAGACATACATATAGGGATATTCAGGTTATCTATTTCTTCTTGAGTGAGCTTTGGTAGTTTGTGTCTTTCCAATAAATTTTCCATTTCATCTAAATTGTTGAGTTTATAGGCATAAAGATGTGCCTCATATACCCTGGTTATTCTGTTAATATCTGTAGTTATGTCACCCCTCTGAATCATGATATTGGCAATTGTGTCTTTTTTTATCAGTATCACTAGAGATTTGTCAATGTTATCTATCTTATCAAAGAACCAGCTTTTTTCATTAATTTTCTCCCTTCTTTTTGTTTTCCATTTCACGGACTTCCACTTTGATCTTTATTACTTCCTTTCTTCTGTTTACTTTGGGTTTAATATGTTCTTCTTTTTCAAGTTTCATAAGATGAAAGCTGAGGTCACTGATTTGAGATCTTTCTTTTTTTTTTTTTTTTTTTTTTTTTTTAGGTGTTTGGTTTTATTAATTTTACCTAACTGGTTTTTTTTTTTCATTAATTTTCTCCCTTCTTTTTGTTTTCCATTTCACGGACTTCCACTTTGATCTTTATTACTTCCTTTCTTCTGTTTACTTTGGGTTTAATATGTTCTTCTTTTTCAAGTTTCATAAGATGAAAGCTGAGGTCACTGATTTGAGATCTTTCTTTTTTTTTTTTTTTTTTTCTTATATAGGTGTTTGGTTCTATTAATTTTACCTAACTGGTATTTTAGTAGCATCACACTAAATCTGACACACTGTGTTTTCATTTTCATTCACTTCAAAATATTTTCTAATTTCTCTTTTGATTTCTTCTTTATTCATAGGTTATTTACAATTGGATGAACAATGGGGATCCCCCACTGATCTCTGAGATTCTCTGTGCAATTCTCTCCACTCCAGTACTCTGTTCTCTGAAATATGGCTGTCTTGGTCTCTCTGGCCTTTCTCTTCTGTCTTGTCAAGTCAAATAGTCTGCTGAGTATTGCCTGGGCTACCCCTCTCTGTGCTGCAGTCTGGAAACTCTTTCAATGCAGTCGACTGAGACAATCACAGGTTCCTCTTGTTCATTTCCCATATCTCAGGGATCACTGTCCTCGGTTGTCAGATATCCAATGTCTTGAAAACCACTGTTTCATATATTGTGTCCAGTTTTGGGGTTGTTTCAGGGAAGACATAAATCTGGTCCCTGTTATTCCATCTTAGCTGGAAGAAGTCCAGTTTTGTTTTGTTTATATCATTATGAACCAATGACTTACACATTGATCTATTTTAATCCACTGCAGCAATTTTCCTTTTGATTTCCAAGGTATCCCAGCTTAAGCTAATGGAAGCCACCTCACACTGGATTTTGGGTCCTTTGACTTGTCCCTTCTAGTCCCTTTAGTGGCAAATGATATTTAGACACCATAGTCTAGACATTAGGGGTTAACTATATATGTGCATTTGCAGAACTTGTTTTAAAAAATAGGAAAGACAATAAGATAGAGAGGTTTTATATTTATAACTAAGTACACTGCAGTGAAAAGAACCCGCCTGTATTGGAGGAGACCAAGTTCAGCCACACATAACTCACTAACACTCTTAACTGTTAAGTGGAGATCCCAAAAGTTGTTTTTTATCTTTGCTTCCTAAATACAGATCTCTAAGTTTCCAGAGTCCTCTAAATCTAACTCTTTCTTCATAACCTGGGTGCATTCAGTCCTGGCTATTTCTGTACTCTCACTTACATAGTCATAGCAGCTTAGAAAGAAGGCCTCGGGCCGGCCCTGTGGCGCACTCGGGAGAGTGCGGTGCTTGGGTATGCAGTGGCACTCCCGTCGCGGGTTCGGATCCTATATAGGGATGGCTGGTACGCTCACTGGCTGAGTGTGGTGCGGACGACACCAAGCCAAGTGTTGCGATCCCCTTACCGGTCACAAAAAAGAAAAAAAAAAAAAAAAAAAAAGAAAGAAGGCCTCCTACCCCAATATTGTTTGGTATTAGCAGAATCTATCTAAATACTAAGGGTGTGTCATCAATAAATATTACAAAGTAAATGAGAATTCAGTCAAGACTAAGAATATCAAAATAAATTAAATCCAAGGAACCACAATTATAGGATATCAATATCCTTCGGCCTATTCCCAATCTTCTGCCTTCTTGCCCTTAGTTCAACAATCTAAGATGTCACAAATCCCCAATTTTCCTTTTTAACTTACTGAAGGCTTGACACTTTTTACTTTCAGTGAGAGCACCTCACAATCCCTTCCAGGCCAATGATTCTTAAATTCATAGATTCATTGGGGTGCAAGAAACTCTACATCTAGAGATAGATCATTTAACCAGGCACATGATTTTACAGATAGGAAACTAAAGCACAGAAATTTCATGTCACTTGCCTCTATTAGGAAACTTAAAAAGCTAAAGACTTAGTAAAACCATGTGTCAGACAGATTTTCTAAATTATGTAAAAAGTAAATATATTTAAGGTGATAGTTCTCAACACTGTATCTCACATCTCCCTAATAACATATTAAAATTATATACTATGATGATTATAAGAAAAACACAACTTTTTCAGGGGAATTTTCAAACATTTTGTGAATGTCTTAGTAATTACTATAAAAACACTATCATAATGCAAGTATTTTAAACCAAAATGCTTTAATTTTATTAAAACCTGAGTTTTACCCTTGGCTTTTAAGAGATAAAACAAGATAGCTTTGCAAAACCTACTAATGTTTAAAATGCCATCTTGCCTTTACTTGAATCCAGGAAATCAAATAATATTATACCACAAACCAGTCTTTGCTGAGAAACAAAGATGGTCCTCAAAACTTTGAGGATTAGCTTTAATGAGAGTCCAGTAGATTCTGACTGCTGAGAGGCCAAACCAGCAAACCTTGCCTATCATCTTCAGAAAAACCATCTCAGCAAATTGTTTCCAACACAGACATTTGCTGTAGCTGCTATTTTGTCACAGAGAATAATTCCGATCTTCTAAGTACCAGTGTACCATAATTTTGGCCACCTCAAAATGCTCAGGGAAGCATTTATTGGCCTAATAAGTCTTATTTTGTCTTTAATGAGTACAATTTCAAGTGATCATAAAAATCTTACATATGGTCATTACAACACTTGTTGAGCACAATCTGTTCATCCAAAGGCATTTCTACTCTACACCATAAACAGCATTAGATATGACCATAAAAACATTCATCTACCAAGATGTTCAGGCCAAGGTTACAGGAAATGAATAAAAAATTATGGTTACATACAGTCTTGGTTACACTAAGATGTTCTGCTAGAGCAATAACTGAGAATAAGCAGCCTAATCTCTCTTCTAGCTTCTGGTACTGATCCTCAAGATATAAATAAGGCTGATCAAAGTACAACCACAGGCTCTCTTTCAGATACACTAGACTAGAGAGAGATTTTATTTTTTTAAAGCAAAGTTTGCACTGATTTTCTAGCAATTTAGATACCATGGCATTTATTTTAAAGTTTTTTGTTGTTTTTTGGCGGGGGGTGGGGGGGGTAGCTGGTACAGGAACTGAACCCTGGACTTTGGTGTTAACAGCACCATGCTCTAACCAACTGAGCTAACCAGCCAGCCCACCATGGCGTTTATTTTAATAATAATAGCTAACATTTACTTAGCACTTACTGTGGTCTCAATACTGAGTCAAGCTCCTTAAATATATTACCTTATTTAATACCATAAAAAATAATTTGCCCACTTAGCTAATAAGCAGCAGAGCTAAGAGTCAAACATGAACTGACAATGGAGCCCAGGCTCTTATCCACTGTGCCTCCCTAGCATAGTCTTGGAAACTCATAAATACTTGCTCTTTTCCTAGGAAGAAAAGAAAGACATTATCTCCCACTAAACTGTAGGTTCAAAAGTCCTAAGAGATCAAGTACAAAGAGACCTGGGATCTTACCTGATTTGTTTCAGCATTGTGCTGCCAACACAGCTGTTTTCTAGTAGTTGTAAAATGAGGGAAGGCTGAATGAAAAGGTTGCTCAGCTATTAAGTGGAAAAACAAGATTCAGAACCATTCTCCTAAGTACTATATGATAGATTTAAACTCTATGCAGTAACAAATTTTAGGTAATACACAAGTAAATTTTATAGCAGCCAGTTTTTCCCTTGTATGGTTGTAAGGATTAGCTCCTAATTATTTTAGAGCTCTGGAAAGCATTAGCAATAACACACCAGTGAGAGATTACAAAGGAACTAGCATTTTTGTCATTGCTAAAATACGAGATCTCATATATGTTGTATATAATTGAATTCTCTGAGCTATAAGGTAAATTGTTGAAATACATTCACGTCTCTTTTCACCTTACATATTCAGCTTACTCATATGCACTGACCACATTCACTTTTTAAAGCCAAATGTTCATAGGACCTAGTGACGGTATGTGAGCAGTTAAAATTCAATCAAAATCTTCTAAGCCCAATACATTAACATTTAAATGATTCTTGTCACGGACATCAATTTCTTTTGTGCATATATTTCAGAGTCACTAGCAATGAAAAAGCAAAAAATCAGTGTCCTGTTTACATGAGTGTCCTGTTTACATTTACATGAGTGTCCTGTTTCACAAGGGCAAGTTTGGTATTGTTTCCTGTCACTGATTTTAACTTTATCAAACACTAGTACACTTCTATAATGGTCTCACTACTACTCCTTATTCGAGCACGTTTAACAATCCTGGGCCCATCACCTGAATGATACTCATTAACACCAAGGAGATGTAGCCATGGTACCTACCTTGGTTAGGTGAATGACTCCTTTAGAAGTGACTGAACAACCCATGAAGCCAACATACTGAAGTTCTGGACAGTGCTCAGCAAATGCTTTCACTGACTGATCTGTCACCTAGAGAAGAAACATGAAGACAGTTATTCAAGGTGATATTACAATGAACTCAAGGATTTGCTTCCTGCGAATTCCCTCTGCCCCACCTTGCAGTGGTTTTTAGTATATTCACAAGATTGTACACCATCACCAATATATAATTCCAGAACATATTCACCATCCCAAAAAGAAACCCCATGCCAATTAACAGTCACTCCTTTTTTCCCTTTGACAAACCAAGGAATGTCAAAGATTGGCAAAAAAAAAAAAAAAAAAAAATCCAGAAGCTAGAAGACAGCCTGGGATACATCATTTTCTATCATCTTCAGAAGGAACACAGCCCTGCCAACATCTTGATCTTGGACTTCTAGCCTCTAGAATTGCAAGACAATAAATTTCTGTTGTTTAAGACACTCAGTTTGTGGCAGTTTGTTATGGCAGCCCTAGCAAAATAATATACACATTTTCCACTCTTTCTTGATCTTACTCTAATCAGGCTTTTGTCCCTACCATTCAGCTGTTATCAACCTATCAAATTAAATGTTCAATTTCAATTCTCATCCTAGCCTTTCAGCAACATTAACACAGTTGATGATTTTTCTTGAAATAATTCATTCACTTGTTTATGGGGCACCAGTCTCCTGGATTTCCTCCTTCCTTACTGGTGGCTCTTAGGCACTTTGCTGAGTACCCCTCTCATCTCAGTCCTCAGCTCATTTCTATTTTCTATTTCACTTCATTCCCTAGGTGATCAAATCTAAGCTCATGGCTCTAAATACTAATTATATTAATGGTTCTCATGTTCATATCTCCAGCCCAGACTTCTGTACTCTATTTCAAACTTCCATGTTCAAATCAACTGTTTATTCACTCTCCTTGGATGTCTATAGGCATCTCAAATTTAACATTTCCAAAGAGGAAATCTTTATATTCCCAAACAACCCTGCTTTTCCCCAGTGTTTCCCATTTCAGTGAATGGCATCACTGTTCACCCAGGCATTCGAGACAAAATTTTTTCATTCAAAACAACATCCAGTCCACTAGGAAATACTGTCACCTCTTTCAAATATATCCTAAATGAAGCTACTTGTCATCTCTGCCACCACTACCACCTTAGACATCATCAGTATCATCTCTCATCTGAACTATGGAAATAGCCTCCTAACTGCCCTCCTGATTCTACTCTTGTTCCTTTATTTTTTATTCTTCATAAAGCAACCACCAATCTAATTAATGTCACTCTCTTGTTCAAAATTCTCCAATAGTTTATTATCACACAACCCAAACACTTTACTAAGGCCCATAAAGGCTCTTGATAATTTGACCCCAATCAGACCTCTACTTCTTTTACCACCATCCTTCATACCCCCACTCCTCTCATTTACTCCAACCAAAGCGGTCTCAAAGTCTTCCTCAAACATGCCATGTCTATCTCTGTTTCTAGGTCTTCATATTACACTTTCCTGCTGCCCCAATGCATCCTCCATACGTGGTCACATGGCTTACTTCTTCACTGCATTCCTGCCTTTGTTTCACTGTCACCCCAGCTAAAATAACACCCCAGCTAAAAAACTCCCCTAGTCACTCTCTATCTCTTACCCTATTTTGATATTCCTTATAACACTTATGTGATTATATTACAAGCTTACTCACTTATTAGTTTGTCATCTGTCTTCCCGCATTAGAATAACTCATCCTTTCTCCCTCCACTAGAGTAACCAACCATTCTGGTTAGCCTTGGACAGTCTCAGTCTTAGCACTGCAAGTCTCAAAACCCAGAAAACCCCTTGGTCAAGGCAAACTGGGACAGTTAACATCCTTACCAGGATGATCATCCACCCAGCCCAATTCACATACCATCAGAACCCAGAACGTCCATGGCACTTAGTAGGAACAAACTGAATATTTAAGCAAATGAATAAATGTTTTTTCTCTCTCTCTATCACCACACACTCCACCATACTTTTAACTCCTATTTCCTTTTAGATCAAGAGTATATTTATATTATTTTCATATGTTAATTTTTTAAAATGGCATTATACTAGTGGCCTCTGATATAGTTGGTGTGTGTTATAAAATCTTTTTTTAAAAAAACAGGGAAGCAGTGAACATTTTTATACCAGTGGCTCTTAACTTTCATGTGTATCATGATTAATTTTATGTGTCAACTTGACTACGCCATGGAGTGCCCAGATATTCAGTTAAACATTATTCTGGGTGTGTCTGTGACAGTTTTTCTGGATGAGATCATCAATTGAATCAGTAGACTTAGTAAAGCAGATTGCCTAGTGTGGAGGGGTCTCATCTAATCTGCTGAAAGGCTGAATAGAAAAAAAAGTCATAGTGAGGCAGAATTTGCTCTCTCTGCTTGAATGACTTCCAGCTGGGACATGGGTCTTCTCCTGCCTTAAGACGTGGACTGTAACTTATAGTATTGGCATTCTTGATTTCCAGGCCTTCAGACTTGGACTCAAAGCATACCAACAGTTCTCCTGGATCTCCAGATTGCTGATTGCAGATCTTGGGACTTTTCAGTCTTTGTAATCATGTAAGCCAATGCCCTATAATTATCTCTTGATGGATAGATAAATAGATAATCTCCTAATGGTTTTGTTTCTTTGGAAAACCTCGAATAATACAATACGTATTACAATCCCCTGAGGAGTTTATTAAAAACTCAGAGCTAAAAAGGGTGGGGCCCAAGTATCCATATTTTTAATAAACTCCCAAGTGACTCTTAAGACATGTGAAAGCTTAAGGCCCCAATACTACAAAGAAGCATTTGGTACTTCTAACCAGCTTTGTTTTAAAAGAAAGGCAGGCAAAATTCCTTTTTTGTCTCCCCTACCTCCAAAAAGTTTCCATGTGTGAAATTATATGCTTATAATTATACCAAAACTTTCTTCAGGTTTTCACAAAAAATGTAGTATATAAAAGAAGGTCCAATATTCTCTATCATATGCTTAATTTCAGATTCACTCTCCTCACAGTCAAGATGAAATCAACAAGTTAAACACCTTTGTTAGTTTTTTAAACAGCAGCAACTTACATCTCTTTTGCATTAGCTTTAATATGGATGACTCTTATTTTGTATCTCCCTTTCCTGTGCTGAACAGATATTGAAAAATAGAGGTGTGTGAGTAGCATTAATTCTAAAACAATCATAAGAACATTTTCCTTAAATAATGAAACCAACAGCATCCATGGTACATCTGATAAAAGATTAATTCTGCCCTCAAAAGTAAAGTATGCTTAAGCATATTAAAACAAAGGGTGCCATTGATAAATTAAAAATGGGCTTTCCTGACACTCAGCTTTCTAAAGACATTATGTTAACAAAAAATGTTTAAGGTACTAAAATTGCCAGAAGCTCCAATGAAACTCAATCTCTATTAAAAACAAAAAGGGGTAACAGAGGTTAAGTACATGGTCAGTTGGTTAATACCCTGTTCAATCTCAGTCTAACATCAAGTCTTTCCTATATCCATCCTCAAGGAGAGAAGAGGAACACAGATAAGGATTAACAAAGAAGAAAACTCATGTCCCAGGGGTCAGAACTTTCAGAGATAAGAAAAAGACTATTAAAAATTTGCTTGGTGGGTCTTTCCTTTTCAGCTCAAGCAATCAGAATAAGACAGCTCAGAGCAGCCTCCAACATCAACAGAGGCCAGAAAGACCAGAGTAAGTCTTAAGGGTATTGAAACACTCTTAGTAGGCTTGGGTGTGTTTTAGGAGACTAATAAAGGTGTCTTGAAGATTTGGGTGGCATCCAGCTCCACTCCCAAGAACAGAAAATTGGTTAGAGATTTGAGGCAGAAGGTCTGACAGAAATACCAGTGCAGACAGATTGTAGGAGGCAGGTACTGGTGGGTATCAGCTTCCTTGGGACCCTGAAGTCTGACTACCTAGTTTGAAATCCCAGGTGGACCACTTACTAGCTGTGTGATTTTGGACAAATCAGTTCACGTCTCTATACTTTGTTCCTTCTATAATATGGAGAAAATAACAGTGCCTACCTACCTCATGGAGTAAAATAAAGGGTAAAATAAGATAATGCATATAAAATGTTTTGAACTGTGCATGGAAGATGCTCAACAGATTTTAGCTATTATTATTATAATCACCACAGGTCTCCCTTTCTTCATTATTCTGATTCCTAGCCAGGACTAAGGGTTGACACGTAGAAGAGAATAATTTACAAATGGTGTAGTTAAAACATGATAGTTTATTCTCCTGGTTACTGCAAGAGATCCTGATCATAATTTAAGGGCTCTAGGTTATTAGCTAAACCTTGGGGTGGGAGTGAGGGAGACATAGGTGAAAGTTTATTATTGACTCATTACAGTAGAAGGAATCCCCTTTTAAGTTTCTCAACCTGGTTGCATATTAGAATTACCTCAGAAGCTTTCAGATTTAATCACTTCATGGAAATCTGCATCAATTTTATTTTAAAAGCATCCCAGAAGATTCTAACATGCAGGCTGGGTTATGAACAAGTTCTTGGGCCATCTATTCAAAGTGTTGTTCTCAGACCAGCAGCATTGGCATCACCTTTGAGCTCATTAAAAATGCAAAATCTCAGGCCCCACCACAGACCTCCTGAATCCTTATCTGCATTTTAGCAAGATCCTTAGGTGATTCTCATGCACCTTAAAGCTCAAGAAATACTGCTCATGTGATAAAGGACTATGTCATCTTCTTGGGGTGAAATAAAGCAAAAACTGAATGGCTATGTCATAACTCATGCACTATGGAAAACTTTTTAAACAGTTTTATTGAGGTATAATTTACATAAAATAAATTCATCTATTCTTAAGACTACTGTAGTTTTGAGTTTTAATGTTTATACAGTTGTACAACCATTATCACAACACGGTTTTTGAACACTTTTATCACACCACCCCCAAAATTCCCTTTATTCTTTAGACCCATATGCAGTCAGTCCCAGATCCCACCCCCACCCTAGGCAATCACTGATCTGCTTTCTACCTGTGTACTTTTGCTTCTCCTACAAACTTCAT